ACAGGGTTCTTGGCGATAGCCATGGCCGACGTGTTATCACAATAGATGGTTGTTGGTGATAGCTGCGGAAGCTGGAGTTCGGTGGCAAGACGGCGTAACCAAACAACTTCAGAAGCAGCAGCCGAAAGGGAGCGGTACTCGGCTTCGGTCGAAGACTTAGCTACCGTCGGCTGCTTTTTGACTGTCCAAGAGATCAAATTTGGTCCAAGAAAAGTACAAAAACCCGAGACAGACTTCCGATCAGTGGTGTCAGATGCCCAGTCAGCATCCGAATAGGAGCGAAGATCTAAGGAACCCACGGTGATCGGCAAACCAAAGGAGAGAGTTCCTTTAATGTAACGCAGTAGTCTTTTGAGCGCTTTGTAGTCATGTTCAGTTGGAGATTGCATATGCTGGCAGATCCTGTTAGTTGCATAGGCAATATCCGGTCGAGTGACGGATAAATACTGGAGAGACCCAGCAAGCCGGCGGTAAAGAGAAGGATCCTGAAAGGGCTTCGAATCGGGTTCGGTATGCTTCTTAAGCGGCGTTATTGGAGTAGGGGCTGGCTTGCAATCTTTAAAACCTGAATCATTTAATAATTGAGAAGCATAATGTGCTTGAGATAAAAAATAACCATTGTCGGAACGAGTCACCTGAATACCGAGGAAGAGGGAGATTGTGCCAAGCTGTTTGAGAGCAAAGTGCTGTTGGAGTTGTTGAAGAAGTTGCCGGATTGCAGATTCATTATTTCCTGTCACTAAGAAGTCATCGACATAAATCAGTAAGAATATATGAATATTTTTGCGATGAAGAATGAGGAGAGAGGGATCAGAGCGGCTGAACCCGAAACCGAGCTGTTGTAGAAAGCTTGTAAGTTTCTGAAACCACTGACGAGGTGCTTGTTTGAGCCCGTATAGTGATTTGCGGAGCTTGCAGACCGCATGTGGTTGTTCGGGATCGGTAAAGCCGGGCGGTTGACGCATGAAGATGTCGTCGGGAAGGTCTCCATGAAGAAAAGCATTCGCAATGTCCAACTGATACATAGGCCATTGTTGATGAAGAGAGAGAACGAGAAGAAGACGGATTGTAGGCATTTTGGCAACCGGGCTAAAGGTTTCTGTATAGTTGATCCCGAATTGTTGATCATATCCGAGCGCAACAAGACGTGCTTTGTAGCGTTCGATCTGACCGTTAGGAAGACGCTTGATTTTATAGGCCCATTTGCAGCCAAGGACCGGCTTGTTCGGAGGAGGAGAAACGAGAGTCCAGGTTGACTGTTTTTGAAGCGCATTGAATTCTTCTTGCATAGCAGACCGCCACTGGGGAGACTTAAGAGCTTGGAGGTAAGTGTTGGGAGTGGTAGGCGGATTGACCTGAGCGAGAAGATTCATCACAGTCTTCGGTTTACGGATGCCTGCTTTCAAACGAGTTAGCATTTGGTGAACAGGAGTAGCAGTAATGTTTTGCCGAGGAAGGATAGGAGAAACAGACGGCGGAGAGGGAGCGGCTGAAGTTGGAGAAGTGATCGAGTGAAATGAGGTGTCGGGCTGAGGTTGGAACGGAGTGACAGAGGGAGAAGCGGTAATGTTGGTTGGTGTAGAAGTTTGAGGTAAGGTTGACGTGGGAATAAGCAGAAGAGGAGGTGTGGAGGATTGATTAACCGAAGAAGCGGATGTAGCAGAGGTAGGTATAGATTTAAAAGGGAAAGTTAGCTCATGAAAGATTACATGCCGAGAAGTATAAATGCGACCAGTCAAAGTGTTGCGACAAAGATATCCTTTGTGATGGGAGGAATATCCAATAAAAACACAAGGTGAGGAGCGGGGAGCAAATTTATCTTTAGAATAAGGATGTAACCAAGGATAGCACAAGCACCCAAAGGTGCGAAGGTGAGAGTAGGAGGGCGGAATACCGTGGAGGAGCTGAAACGGAATTTGATTAGATATGGATTTGGACGGTAAACGGTTAATTAAGTGATTTGCCGTGGAGAGTGCATACGACCAGAATTCAGGTGGAAGAGCGGATTCGAGAAGGAGAGCCTGGGTAAGATCTAAGAGGTGACGATGTTTTCTTTCAGCGACGCCATTTTGCTCTGGCGTGTGAGGGCACGAAAATTGATGAATAATACCATTGTCTTGCAGGAAGAGACGAAATTCACGACTGGTGTATTCACCACCACCGTCGGAACGAAGAATCTTGGGAATGTGATTAAATTGAGTTTTAGTGTAGTTGCAAAAATTTTTAAATTTACTAAAGACCTCACTTTTGTTGTAAAGAAGATACAGCCACGAGAACCGAGTGTGGTCATCAATAAAGATCACATAATATCGGTGACCGTCCAGAGAAGAATGCGGGGCAGGACCCCAAACGTCCGTATGCACAATTTCAAAGGGAGCTTTAGAAATGGAACGACTTGTATTAAACGTAAGTTTGTGGCTCTTGGCCCGGTTACAAGAATCACAGGAGAAAGAATGAGGTACATTAAGAATTTCAGGGAACAATTTCGACAGAGCAAAGTGAGTATCGCGATTCGGATGAGCTAGACGGGAATGCCAAGTCTTGGCCGCGGGAAGGCTGGCTGTGAGAGCCGCATGGGAGATGCCAGGTGCTGTGCGGATGTGATAAAGCCCATTAAGAAGATGGCCACGAAGCAGCGGATGATGGTCCCGAGAGTCCTTAATCACAAAACCGTTAGCGTCAAAAGAGATTATAACAGAATTATCAGAAGTAAGACGCGAAACAGATAGCAAATTATGGGTGAGAGAAGGCACATGCAGGAGGTTGTTAAGTTTTAACTTACGAGCCGTATCAGGGAGAGGAAGAAGTCCTTGACCTGTGTTGGTAATGGGTAGAGTGCTACCATTTGCCGTCGAAACAGTGTCCGAGCCTTGATACGACGTCGGGTAGTAGAGATGATTCGCATCGGGAGTCAGGTGTGTGGAGGCGCCGGAGTCAAGAATCCAATCTTGACTGACCGGCGGCACAGGATTGGCCAGGAGAGCGCGAGGTTGTCTTGTGTCTGTAGGCGCGTACTTTGGATTATGGCGGTGCCAGCAGTTGAGTGCGACATGGCCAAGCTTACCACAAATCTGACATATAGGCCGAACGGGTTGCTGAGGAGTAGCATAGTTCAGCGGAGGAGCGGGGGACGATGGAGCAGAAAATTGGTTCTTGGGTTTGCTGGGGCGACGATTGTTCCCATTGCGAGGACGGGAGGAGTTAGAAGACGCAGCATAAAGAGCGGTAGGAGCAGTAGTACCGGTGGAATCTTGCAAGGTTTCTTGATGAAGATGAATCTCTTCATTGCACAAAAGTGCATAAAACGTATCAAGATCAATCGGTAACAGGGAATTACGAATGGTAGACTTGAACGAGTTGTAGGTAGGCGGCAAGCCATTGAGAATGTGAAGCATTACATCTTCAGACTCAATCTTCGAGCCGGACGCAGCTATGTTGTCCACGAGTGTTTTGATGTGTGTAAGGTACTGTTGAACGGAGAGGTCCTTCATTTGAGAGCGATAGAGCTCGTTCTTGAGCTGAATGACACGGGACCGGCTGGTAGGTTGGAGTCTTCGTTCAAGAATGTGCCAGGCTTCATGAGCAGTGGTTGCCGTGAGGATGTAAGGTAGAATCGATTGGGAAACCGTGGAAAAGATAGCAGCAAGAAGATTGCTGTCGATGAGTTGCCACTGGGCGTAGTCCGGCGAGGTAGTATCAGTCGGAGCAAGAACCGTGCCAAGAAGATGACCGGCATATCCATTTGCGGTGAACTGTTGAAGCAATTGAACACGCCAAATATGATAGTTGTCGGTCGTGAGATGATGAGGAGCAAGATTTTTGACATTGGACACAAGGAACTTCAGATTAGGAGGAATCAGCGGAGACGGGCTGGTGCTGATCGTCTGAGAGGAGGAGGAGGGGGAGGAGGCCGGAGGTACGGAATCCATGAGATCTTGTTAATCTCTGATGGCTCTTGATACCATGATAGCAAAGCAGAAATGAAAGGAAGACAAGAAACGGAAGACAGAGCAGAGAAAAAGTAATTCTATATTGATAATCCAAACTGTACAGGAGAATGCCTTAAATAGGCAAAAGAAGATAAAAGTGTAAATACAAGTAATAAGCCTTAATACTAAACGGTGTCTGCTAATACCCTCCCGCAAATTAAGCATTCGGGGTGTGAATGCTTAATTTGTTTCGGAGCTCAAGGAACCGAGTGATCGAGAACGGCTTGGTAAAAATGTCGGCAATTTGATCGTTGGAGGAAATATGCTCGAGCGTAATGTTGCCGGATCCAATTTGCTGACGAATAAAATGATAGTCGATCTCGATGTGCTTGGTACGAGCGTGAAAAACAGGGTTCTTGGCGATAGCCATGGCCGACGTGTTATCACAATAGAGGGTTGTTGGTGATAGCTGCGGAAGCTGGAGTTCGGTGGCAAGACGGCGTAACCAGACAACTTCAGAGGCAGCAGCCGAAAGGGAGCGGTACTCGGCTTCTGTCGAAGACTTAGCTACCGTCGGCTGCTTTTTGACTGTCCAAGAGATCAAATTTGGTCCAAGAAAAGTACAAAAGCCCGAGACAGACTTCCGATCAGTGGTGTCAGATGCCCAGTCAGCATCCGAATAGGAGCGAAGATCTAAGGAACCCACGGTGATCGGCAAACCAAAGGAGAGAGTTCCTTTGATGTAACGCAGAAGTCTTTTGAGCGCCTTGAAATTTTATGATGTTATCTCAAGTTGTCTAACTTTTATTTATATTTTCAATGTTTTGAATTTTATAATCATGTAAGTTTAATGATATTTAAAATTTATATAACTTATTGAGCCTTATAGCTCACCAGTGCTCTTTTTACTGACTGTTGTTACAGGAATAAGGAAAAGAAAGGATCATTGCAGATTAGTTTACAAGTTATGTTATCTTTTATGCTAATATTTAATTCTATTTGTATGTTTACATTTGAGGTATCTAGACACTTCAGTAATGTATTATTTTGGGATTATTTAGTGGCTCTGTAATTGTGTTTGATGTTATTTGGAATTATTATATGCTTCTGTAGTACATGAAATGTTATTGGATGTTTTAGATCAATTTTCAAAGAAATGAAAAGTATTAGATGATAGATGAAAAAAAAAAGAAAAAAAAATGTTATGTTATTTGAGTGACACTCTATAATACAGTTAATGGTATTATGGGGTGTTACATTACCTGTAACAAATCTCCAAGATAATAGTAATCACTAAGCACTTCTCCAATGTAATCACTCAACCTTAAAATCCTTAATAATATACCAATAACTTCAGTCCATTGAATGATTTAAACATTTCATAACACAAAAAGAATTAAACAAGAAACAAAGTAAATCATGTGTATGGATATTTATTTTATGAAGGTTTACGCTTGCATATGTTCAAACCACCTAAATCTATTTTTAACTAACTAATTTTCAATAGATATTACTCCAACTATTTCTATAAAATAATTATTCCTTGACTTATATTTTCAAAATTTAAATTCATAATAAAATCCTTGTTTATCCAAGCCTCAACAATCAACTATTTTTTACCACCCATTACTCAAATTCTTACAACATCATTGGCAATTTGATAAAATTTACCTTTAATAATTCTCCAATATAATAATATTCCGAATAGTTATTTTTTTTAACCTTCCAGCCTTAGAACGACTTTAAAATACAACAATAACTACAGTCCATTGGAAGACTCAAACTTGTCACGGCACAATAGAAATTAAACCAGGAATGAGGTAAACAAAGCGCAGGGAGGTGCGAAAAAGACCTTTAGAAGGGTGGATTTGCCACATCCATTAAGGCCGAGAAGCATCCAGAGCTGCCCCGCGGGAACACGAAGTGAACAGTCCTTCAGAATAGGCAACGCCGCGCTGTGCTTCGACGCCACAGAGAAGCTCAGACGACGCCCCTCGATAGATATGGCTTGGGCCGTAGTATCGAGGAGCCTGTCGCCTCCAACCCCGAGTCGACATCGCCAGCTGCAAAAGAAAGAGCTCGTTGGCGATCAAGTTAGTGTGTGTGTGTGTGTGTGTGTGAGAGTGAGAGAGAGAGGAGCGCTGCTACTGTACTAACCTTGATGCTGCAAGCGCCCCGGCGGCTGCTGGGGAGGAGAACAGCGCCGCCGGCATCGCCAAATCGAGGAGAAATTAGCTGCGAAAGTTTGGGCGAAGAATTGGGGGCCATTTCCTCCAATCGGAATTAAATTCGACGTAGGCGTGCAAGTCAGCCGAGCAGGCTCGTGAGACAGCTCGAGCTCTATCGGAGCTCGTGAGCTCGAGCTCTTCTAATAAACTAGTTCCAGTCTGATGAGGCTCCGCTTGCCAGCTGGCTCTTAATATAACAGCTGATAGGAATTTTTTTTACAAACAAAACTGATAGAGATTTTTTCTGTAAAAAAATTAGCTATGTTTTTCTTTTGTAAAAAAAAAAAAATTTTTAAAAACAAAACTGATAGAGATTTTTTTTGGAAAAAAATTAGCGATGTTTTTTTTTTGTAAAAAAAAAAAAAAAAACTGATACGAAAGATAAATAAATAAATCAATTTCTTCTTTTCATTTATTCTTCTCCGACAGCAGGCCTTCTGGACCTCACGTACTACTTGCGAGCTTATTTTTTATACAACGAGTCGAGATCGAGCTTGGCTTTTAAGCTCGAGTTAAAGCTCGTGATTCGTCCAGCGAGTCAAATTTGAGTTAGTCATGACTCGAACTCGACTCGACTCGTTTACTCCTAATTCCATGCAGTCTCATCCATTTATATATTTAATTCATAAAATTTGCCGTTTTCAAAATATAGTACTTACTTTTTATTAACGAACTAAATTATATATTAGGAAGAAAGGGCAATGAGATCTTTTGGTCTTGAAACTATAATGATTGGATGAGAAAACCATGATATAAGGATGGACCAAATGATAATAGAGAATGTGAGAATGATGATATATATTTAATGTTTTGGGTCTTATGTGTGTAAATAATAAAATTTATGTGCTAAATGTGTAAAAAAAGTAAGTTTTAGGTGTTATGTATGTAAATCCTCTAAAAAATTAACAAAAATTGGCATTATGTAATTGACCTAATTTAATATATAAATAAAACCATGTATCATTATGTAATTTACCTAAATAAAAAATTTATGAAAATCAGCTTTAAGACCACAGACTTATTTGTAGCTGAAACTGAAAATACTATTTTTGATAGCAAATGGTGAAAAATATAAATCATTAAAGTTGTATGACTGCTAAAAATTAGGTTAAAATAATATCATATTTAATTTTCAGATTTGCAAGGCCTTTACCAAAACAATCGAGTAAAGCTTTGTCGGTGTGACAACCGGTTCTCCCGGCCGGTTCAACTGAACCGGCCGGCCCACCCTTTTTATACCGCGAACAGAAGGGTCGCGGAACAGAATAGTTCGCGCGAAACAGAGAGGGGCGGGCGACGGAGCGTTCGTGCGGGGGAGCAAAGTGAGTTTCATTTTTCTAATTTTAGCACACGATTGTTTTCAATGACAGGAAATAATGATTCCTTTTCATTCTTATCGTTATTAGAGTATTATTTTTGGAGAGATTTGAAGAACAAGAGAAACGGACGATAAGGATTAAGGGAAATGTTTGTTGATTTTCTTTCAGATTTCTCGTATAAATTTCCTCCCTTTACTTCATCCAAAGTGAATGATATGTTTCTTGAAAGATAAGGAATGGATTGAAGCGAAGAAAAAGGAAATTTCGAGAATGAAGGATTTTGAGAGTTTGAGAAGTCTCCATTCAAAATTGTAAGTGAATTCCTTCCAATTTCAGTTTTAATGATATTTAGAATTTAAATCAAAATATTATTTTGCTAGAAGTTATTGTTTGAAATTAGGGTTTTAGAAAGTGAAAGATCAAGTCATAAGTGTTGATCCCGCGAAGATTCAACAAGAAGAGAAATTGATTCAAGAGTAGATCAAGCATCGAAGACCTGAAAAGTTTAAAGTGGGTAAATTATATTATTTATGTTTTATTGATGATTTCAATTTTCTAAATAATTGATTAAAAAAATCTTATATTATTAAATGTTGAAGGCAAACCTTTATGATTTTATAGTCTTAAGAAAGAATCTATATGTTATAAAGGTTTAAAAGCTTATGGAAAAAGAAAAGAAATATTTATGAAAATGCATGTTAATTATATTATATGAAATGGAAATAATAATTATGAAAATGAGAAAAAAAAAAGAAAAAGAGAATAAAGGAAAAGGGTATTGAAAATGACAGGAGTCACCCCCTTATAGTACTGGCTGGGGACGTCGTACTCGTGCACGAAAAAGAAAAATGAAATTTCTATGGAAATGAGAAAAGGAAATCATATGGAAAAGGTAGTACCTTTGGGTACTTTGAGACGGTGCTCCTGAGAAAATCATTTGGGAAAAGGAAATACAAATGAAATATTAAAGATAACAATTACTTCAAATTGATATAAATGAAAAATATCAAGAGAAGTATAAGTTAAGGAAATCAAAGAAGTACGATTAAGAAAGGATAGAAAATATCTTAATTAATTAATTTTAATGATTAATTTATAAAAATTTCCCACTGAGTTTACTTAGTAAACTCAAACCACGAGTTTAAATGTTTTAGGTAATTCCTAAGAAAAGAAATGACAGAAAGAGAATAACATGCTTACAGAAGACGAGGAGCAAATGACAACAGGTAAAATATATTTTGTGTTTTTAGTGGCTCTTTATCATGAATAATGTAGTATTATGTTTAATGAATTTTATCGTCCGACTTTTCGTACCCGCCTCTTTAGATCGAGCATCCGGGCCAAGTTGTGACAGTCGGGGTGGACATCAAAATAAATTGTTTAAAAGTTAATATTGTTAGATCCAAAATCCAAATGTATTCGTTGATGACACTTGATATTACTAACAAGCAATTTTATAAGATAAAAATTTGAGAACTTAGAGTGAGTATGAAAACTAAAAAAGAGGATTCAAAGAATCTAGAAAAAAAATAAGAAACCTAAAAAAAATTCTAAAATTCTAATAGATCAATAATACTTCAAAAAATATAAAAATATTCATATTTATCATTTTTTATAGGGACCTAACTACAACAAAAATACATGAAAATGTAAGAAGTACTTCATTAGTTAGAGCCAATCATTGGGCAAATTATTATGTCTGGTGTCCGGATTCATCCGAACACTAATCCAGATGCGCCACATCACCAAAATATACCGGGCTCCGGTGTATTTGGGTGACGTGGCGCATATGAATTGGATGTCCGGACGTCAGGTGACCGGGCGTAATAATTCGCCCAATCATGAACCGTATATGACACGTCGTCGGTTGATAAGCGCCGATGTGGCCCTCATCCTTAAATCAAAATCATCTCAGAGGCGAGTTGCATTGCAATAAGTTCTTATCCCATCTTGTTAAAAATTGAGATAGGTGACATATCATTTTAACTATATAATACATGATGAAAATTTACTTAAGAAATAAACTTTTTTTTTGTCTATTTGCTTTGATATGTAAGTTGATAGAAGTTTTTTTAGATATTAATTAGGTTTTTGTTTGGGACAATTTTATTACTATTTTTATGAAGTAATTTTTTAGTACTTTTTTTTTAATTTAAAAAATTTTTGTACTAAAAAATAACTTTAAAAAACAATAATAAAATCGTACCAAATTAAGCCGCAGTCTGATCAATAGGCACATATCTATAAAAAAATCATTGAATTATATATTTATATATAATGAATGGATAAATGATTGATGAAACATATTTAGAGAGGTATGATTATATATATTATTATTGCATATGAATGCTTTTGAATTTAAAGGTGTTAAATATAACTTATCATATAAATAATAACTAATGTCAAAATGTTAGAAACCATTTTTTTATAATTTGGAGCTATAATTTATGCAATGCAATATCACTTTAACTTGATGATACGTTATGACACCTATCACATTACATAATCACTCATACCTATTGCTATCCATATTATACGATCCAATGATTTGAAATTTATGATTTAATAAACATCAATTGCTTATTGAATTTGAATATTCAATAAGTTATAGTACTCAAACTTTTCTCTTTTGAATACAATATAAATTATCACATCTATGTTATCAAAGTGTATCAATTTATGTGCTCGGAATTTATAATTCTCCGCTTCATTCACGAGGGGTCAACACTCATAGCTCATGACCTCATCTTTATATTCTGTGTAGTCACCGGATGCTGTCTGGAGACGAATCAGGACGTGTCACTTCACTTTTTTTGCTATATACCACTGTGTACCAGGTGACGTGATGTATTCTGATACGCCTCCGAATGATCCGATGATCGCACAGAATAATTCCCCCGCCATCTACAAGATGGCGTCGCGTCCCCCTCATATTTCAATATATTTTAGATACATGATAACAAACACAAATAATTCAATGCATTTTTATTGCATCAAGGTACATATTAAAGAACAAATTTAGTGAATTGAAAATGCAACAATGCAAAAAAATAAAATTCCTACCACAGCAACATTAACAAATAGCATTGATTTCCAAAGAATTCTTGGAAATTTTCCACAGTTCGTACCTAGCAGGTCAGGACATCTGCTAATACCTCCATGATGCACAAATAAATTCGACTAAACATTCTAAGTAGGTTAGCAAACCAGCATGTCAAGCTAGCCCGATGCTTGAGTCATCGGCTACAAGAATACAATTTTTTTTTTTAAGTTGGGAACGGGGTATTCACTCGTTGCCACCCTCGAAAAGGCGTTTGGCGGCATAACTAATCATCGTCTGACCTAGAAGAGGCACCCACCCCAGAAACATCCGGGCCCGCACTTGATTGAGCCCCACTTAAGAGGCGCTGCCGCTTGAGGGGAATCAAGCACATGTTGGAAGGTTCCCAACCGTACTCGCCCACCAACCAAGCTAAACATCAGTGGGTAGAATACATTTAATAACAAAGATCCTGCAAAGTATGGCACTATAATAAAATAGCAAAACATGCACACTGTAACCGTTAGGGAGCATAAACCGAGGGAGATCAATCAAATGGACAAGCCCTTGGGTGTTTCTACATCAACATTGTAACTACCTAATCAACAACTAAAGCAAACCTCCCGTGTGCCTTAATAAAAGCCCCTCTCACGCAAAAGCTCTTCACATTAGACATGACTTCTCTTCAATCGGAAGTTTTTTAGATCCAGTTTTATGAACAAAGAGTCCATTGAACCTTTAGAATTGTCGTGGGAGTCCTCCATCTTTGAAAACTTGACGCATAGCCCAGAAAGATAATTTAACAACTAAAGCTATTTCAAGCTTAAAACAAAACAAAGAATGAGGAAGATAAATAAAAGGTACTTCCTATCTGCTTTACCCATTTCTGCAACAACTACGAATATAATTCTTATACAGCATACAAGAAAGTCAGAGCTGGAAAAAGACAGATCATTGATCCTTGAACGCCAGGAACGTTTTTCAAAGGTAAAAAAGAAAAAAAATCATGACAAATTAACTAGGAGCAGGCTGCAACTAGCTATAAACCTGAGGGAGAGGAAAAAGGAATTTTTCGCAGAGATGTACCTTCCTGGGGTCCTTGTTGCTTGCTAGATAGGCGGCGTTTGTAGCGCTTGAGCACAGATGCTAAGTTCTCCTTTCCTTTTGGAAAGGCAACGTCGCCAGCAGCTGTGCCTGTACGACCTTTGCGATTGGATACGGCAGATTCTACCTCCTTGATGAGGTCAAGGACCATAGATGCACTAGTTAATGATTTTTGGCTGTCTTTTTCCCTGGCAAATGGAACGCCGTTCGTTGAGGAAGAACTGAAGTTTGTAAGGGATTTTATAGATATATCAAGACAAGTACAGCTCCGGAGAGAGAATCGTCGTTTGGAAAATGCAGGCTCAATTATTCCCTGTGCAGCATATGGACAAATTTACTCGTCTGGTTTGCTGGAGAAATACAAAATCAACTTAAAGAACCACAGAAACCGGCCAAACATCTTATTAGTTGCGCATATATGGGCAAGTGCATGCCTGGGTGCACACCCTACTTAAGGTTTGTTTTTGGTTCCGCTTATTTCAAATTAACTTTTTGAGAGAAAAAAGTTATGATTTACATAAAAATATATGCTTAAAAATCATCATTTTGCATGTACACCTTTCCTAGAACATTATGAGCATACTATCGGCTTATGGAGCAACTTGTATTTCTGTATGATGAGTATGATTAGTTTATATAACATTGGAAAGCACAATATCAACATAATTGTATCAAGCAAATCCTTGTCTACTCTCTTTTCCTTGTGCGGGAATTTTGTGAGCTTGTTTATTTGGTTCTCATGCTAAATATAGAGAAAAACCAGTCATAAAAGGTAACCAGAATGAACACTGGAGCATATGCATACAAAATTGCAGTGCACAAACATGAATGCTTCCCACTGTAATCATTAGTTGTTAAAGAATGAATGTTTTACTATGATTTGGCCCAATAGATAATGCCAACTAATATTGTTCGCTCAAGAAAAATGGTGCGTAGGCATAAATCCCGCTTTGCAGCCATAAGATTTCATCTTTCTTAAGGCAGATTGTAGTTAACCAAATTTCTTCTGAGTGTGATATCAGGGTTTATTTAGATCTGGGTCCTTACTTATTATGAGTGCAAGCCCTCATAGTTAATTATCTCTCCTATCGCGTAGAAGAGAACTCTCGATTAAGGATAAACAATTTTAGGTGTTTTAGTCTCAGTTTGTGGGGAAATGGAGATAAATCTGATTAAGATCTCATTGTTCCGTTGTCCCAGGTATACCGTAAGTTTTAGTTTACCAACACTAGAGATCATTGATCATAGTGTCCAAGGAATCTGATTAGCTGTCATGGGTTGACTCTTCTCAAAGATCCCGGGTAAAATGAAGTGGATAGATGTAGATTTGGTTTAGATTGGGGCTTACAGCTCCGCTTGGGAGTTGCCCGTAGATTTAGGTAGGTCTTATATCTTCACTTGGAAGTAACATGATTGTTTGAGAAGTGGGTCTTATTGCTTTCATTGAAAGTAGCCCGTAGGTTTATTCAAGAAATGGATCTTACAACTTTCATTAAAAGTAGCCTGGGGGTTTAAGAGGTTAGGTCTTATTGCTTTCATTGAAAGTAGCCCGATTGTACTAAAGAATGGGTCTTACTGCTTCTATTAGAGGTAGCCCGGGGTTTCAATTTTGGACAGGACTTGCGGCTCTGTTTATGAGTTGCCTGGTTATTTGGTTGAAGATTGAGGATGACTAATGTTTGTATTTCTTCTATTCTTTATTTGTGGCCAGTTTGGCTTTGTGATTTGTTTGTTTGGTATTGTAACCATTGATATTTTCTACAATATAGCAAGAATTTCAAGTATAAGTTTGCCAAATAGCAGGTTTACAACTTCCCTTGAAAGATGTCAGGCTATTTTGGTAGGTCTTATGGCTTATGCATTTAGAAGTAGCATGAAGGTGGGATTTAGGGTTAGGTTAATTTTACCTAGAGATTTCCCCTAACAAATAAACTAAAGTCGAACTTACGACATCTATTAGAAGTTGTCGGGTGAACTTAGGTTAGCGAGGCATTAGTAGTAGATATGTAGTTTTACACACTTCACTGCCTCGTCACCAGCACTAGTGTCTTGTTTACAGCAGTAACGTCTTTTATGTTAACACTTGATTAGTGATATACACTGTAGTTTTGCCTTTAGCAGTAGCATTTGACTCGCAGTACTAGCCCTTCTTATTAGTTTTGTTTCAGTGCTAGCTTTGCCTACAATATTAGTTTTGTCTCTTTTCCAACACTAGCTTCTCTTTTTCCAGTACCAATTTGGTTTACCACCCAACACTGACTTGTGTTTACTTATTTGCAGGTGTTCGTGACTAGCAGTTGTATGAGCTGAAGTTTGCAGCTGCATGATTTGTCAGAAGCTTTGAATAGTTTTGCTTAGGTTTACTAGAAGTTTTGGAGCTTTGTTAGTTTTATTTTTTAGTGTTTTAGTTTTAGGAGCTTGGGTTTTAGTTGGTCTACATTGTACTTAGATTTATATAGTGCAAACACTTATTTTCTGCGCTTTTATTCTTTAATTAAAAATACACAACTTCACCAAAGTGGCTCTCCCCTCATAGTTCATATTGCATTTTTAAATCATTTTAATTATAATTAGTTTAAGGTTTAAATTTTAATTTCAAATTAACTGCTCAACTTGTTAATTAAGATTTTAAATTTTAAATATATTTTAAAATTACTCAATTAATTAAATTAAAATTTTAATTTTATTAATTTTGTTTTGTTTTGAAATTAATTGAATTTTAAATTTATTGCTTAATTAATTAAATTTAATTAAAGATTTAAATTTATTAATTGGTTTATTATTTAAATATTAATTAAAATATTTAGTATAAAATTAATTAGTTTAATTAATTATTTTTAATTTTAATTTAATTAGTAAATGAAATTA